GTTCTGGGCACCACAGTATAAAAAGGACATGAAACTGTTGGAGAGTGTCCAGAGGAGGGCTACGAAGATGGTGAAAGGCCTAGAGGGGAAGACGTACGAGGAACGGCTGAGGGCACTGGGCCTGTTCAGCCTGGAGAAGAGGAGGCTGACGGGAGACCTCATCACAGTCTACAACTTCCTCGTAAGGGGGTGTCGAGAGGCAGGAGACCTTTTCTCCATTAACACCAGTGACAGGACCCGCGGGAATGGGGTTAAGCTGAGGCAGGGGAAATTTAGGCTTGACATCAGGAGGAAGTTCTTCACAGAGAGGGTGGTTGCACACTGGAACAGGCTCCCCAGGGAAGTGGCCACTGCACCGAGCCTGTCTGAATTTAAGAAGAGATTGGACTGTGCACTTAGTCACATGGTCTGAACTTTTGGGTAGACCTGTGCGGTGTCAAGAGTTGGACTTGATGATCCTTAAGGGTCCCTTCCAACTCAGGATATTCTATGATTCTATGATAAGAAAGTATCGCTTTGCCAAAATCCATTCCACTGGTGCTATCAGGCATCCAAGAGGGAGGACAGCCCTGGTTCTGAGACAGATCTGCCTTGTGTTTTCATGATGTGGATCAGAAATCTTTCAGCCAACACTGCTCTTTGGCATGCCAAGAGAGAACTGCTATTTTGAAAATGCCTGCTCACATACAATAGCACAGAGAAGACCTGTTTGGAAACAGAGTGTTCAGAAGCTGGGAAATTTTTGCAGAAAAAAAGAAAAAAAGAAAAAAAGAAAAAAAAAGAAAAAAAAAGAAAAAAAGAAAAAAAGAAAAAAAAAAAAAAAAACAATAAAACACTACCACCAACAACAAACCACTGGTTTTTATGTAGTACATTTCTTTCAAGACATGATCTGTAAACAACAAAACTGTATTAAGGAAATTGACTATGATTTCTTTTTTTTTTTTCAGATTCAAAATGCATTATTTCACTGTTTTGTTTGCAAAATATTGCTTCTTCCCTACTGAATACAAAAGTCAAATTGGGGTGAAGGCACTCAGCCTGTTCCCAGTATCAAGTGTTTATTTTTTAACATGCCTATGTGACTCATTCTTCAAGGTGTCCTCATCACAAAACCACCCAACTATGAGAGGTAACCAAGGTGCTGCAGGTAAAAACAAGCACAAGAGATGCTCCTAGTCCATTCCCTCTGTTTAAACTCCTGTAGTCCTGGATGGGCTTTTTGTAAATCCTACACTGATGCCACAGAAACTCCTCACAGAGTTGCTAGCAGAGCTTGCCTGCAGTCAACCACCTAGCTCAGATGCTACCGGCCAAGTACCTTTAACAAGGCAGCACTTATGGCACTCTAGGCACTAAATATGTACTAATTTTTTGGAGGGCAAAGAGGTTACAAAATCTGTTTGGTGTTTGGCTGCCTGGTTGGTCTGGGTGCGTCTCCACAAGCCCTGGTGGCAGACATGGCATGTGGATGAGACATTTGCTTTGTCATTGCCTTGGCCCTGTGAGTATACAGCAAGCTTCCCTGGTACACTGGGTTCCTTCTGCAAAACCTTAATTTGTCTTGAGAATTTGGCAAGGATACAAGGCACTTCTACAAACACCAGGGGGCTGTGGTGTTTTTTGCTGAGCTGAGCTGCCAAGGACTCCTGTGAAAGACCTTGACTGGCTTCTTCAAACTTTTCTTCTTGTATGAAGAGACAATGTCCACCAGCTATGCTTAATTAAGTGATGAAACCAGGGGTGACCAGCCTGTTCCAGTAGTCCAGAGCAATTGTGGAGTATCCCTCCATGGAGATCTTCAAAAACCATCTGGACATGGTCCTAGGCAAGTGGCTCTGGGTGGCACTGCTTAAGCAGATGAGCTCCAGAGATCCTCTCCAACCTCAGACCTTCTCTGTTTCTGTGTGATTCCTGAGCCATGTGAAACCCTTGGGCAGTTCAGCTCATGCAGTAACTCACATGGTGGTGCAGGGTTGTCCAAGTCTGTGGCTAGAGGAAGAAATGAGACAGCAGGATCTGCTGGAGTGATCCTTCATGCTAGGGATAGCCCTGCTCAGAAACCAAACAGTGCCATAAGCTCTTGTTTTCACCTTTGAACTGTTCCCTAGAAAAGTCTCTCTTGTTCCCAAATTCAGTTTTCTGAGTCATCGTTTGAATGTCCTTCAGCAGTGGGAAACATGAATATTTTGGTAAACAACTTCCAGAATCTGGAGATGGTTCAGTTCTGGACTATGGCACCCAGATACCATTTGAGAGCTGTAGAGCTGAGGGACTGTGTCTAGCTTGAGGAGAACTCTTCTAAGGAAACAGGTCTGATTAAGTGGTTCCAGACTGCAAACCATGAAAACTTAAATCACGTATGACATAACCAAGGTCATTGGAAATATCTTTTAATGCTTTACAAAGAAACAATATTTAACAGCATTTCCCCTCTTTTTCTGTTTTCCATGAATATTGCAAATGAACATACATTTCCCAGAAAGGTTCTTGTTAATCTCTGTGCTTGCAGAAAGTGGATTTACCACTGGTAACTGTGAGTAGTCTTGGTGCAAATCTCAGAGCCACACTTGTGTAAACATGGAACAGAAATCTGTCATTATTTATCCAGTCCAAACAACTAACATTTTGATTATATAATGCTCATACATCAGATACAAATAAATTATTATTCTCAGAAATTATGGGCAGAATTATTTCAAACAACAAACACATTCAAGAATATCTAGACAGGCTCACAAATAATTAGCAAACAGAAAAATGCTAAAGATATCTATTCAATTAATTATTGTAGATTATTCACACGGCTCTAGTAACAGTCCCCTGTCTCTGTGAGCCTGTATCAGATGCAGTCCAAAACTGGGATGGTAGTGAAAGATCCCTCTCTATCATTATGAAAACCCATAGTTCAAACTCTTTTGCTCATTCATTTCTACAAAAACAAAAGCAAAGAATGGGTTTTTCTTCACAGGGATTGGTTTGGAGTTGCTTCATTTCAGTGGTATGCAGATTTTTTCACTACGGTTTTGCACAGTGACCAGGAACACCTGTTAACTTCAAAAGAAAAGTACAAAATCCCTGAAAACTCCTCTTCTCATCCTATAAATATTTGTTTTTCATGTTGTGGCAACAACAGCTCATAACTAATGTTGTTTGGAAGCTGTAAAAAGTAATCATTGCTGTTGATCAGGGGCTGGTTTCACAGTGTATGATAAATGGCTCACCAACAGCAACACTTACCACAGCTTCCAGGCACTTGGCCAAACACCCACAGCAGCTCACAGCTTCCCACTGCCATTTCTCAGAGGTGGCATCCACTTCCCAACTGTTCCCCATTCCCTTGCTCGTGACATGAAATACTCCTACACTGTATTCAGGACACAGGCAGCTGTCATGCACACCATGAACACACTTCAGGAGACTCTGTCTCCCTCGGTACAGAGCTGAAACAGCCCTGCCAGCCCTGGGGGTGCCCAGTGGTGCTGCCCAACCTCCAGGCAGCTGGGGATATTTATTACCCTGGTTCAAGCCCATCCTCTTCACCTTTGATAGTCAGAATGGCTAAAGAAACTAATTCAGGTTGGTGGTATACCCTACTATTCACCTTGAAATGTTCCTGTCTTTCTCCTAGAAAAGTTGTTTGCATCTCCACACTTTTGCAGCAAAACAGAAAATGCTCTGAACTCCTTCACTTCCTGGGTTTTCAACAGCAAAACATCTACGTGACTGTTGTACGGGTCAGTCTGGGAGTTGTATGACCATACTACCCTAGCTCTGGACACAAACTCACCCACCCTACACTTCACACCAAAGCAGAAGGGCAGTACAGCTTCTGCACCAGCTCTGCTTAAAGCACTGTCCGCTCAGAGATGCTGAGCACCGTCAGCTTTAGGCATTGTCTATTAGGGACCTTGTTTGTCTGAGGGATTTTTGGTAATCTTTAATTAAATGCTGCACAGGTCTATGGTTGTTTGCTAAAAGAAATAAACTATGATGCATCTGTGTTAAGCTCCTAAACAGATGCATCTATGCTGCCAACCAGCACACAAACAGTGCTCTGGGGGCCTGTGCTCCATGAGTGCAAGCAGACGAGGATATGTTAGTCATCAGGAGTCAAGTCAAGGTGCACATATGTCCCAGTCAGTCATTCAGAACTTTAATTTACTTTTTGTACTCTGCTGGATGAAATTCAAAGGCCTCCCTGTGCTGCAAGTCAGGCGGGTTGGTACAATGGAGGGAAAAATGCAGGTGCATGAAGGGCTGTCTGGGATGGGCATTCCTCTGCCAGCTCTCCTGCTGAAGGAGCACAGTATCTAGGGGGCACTTTGGAAAAACATACTTTGGAAAAACATTGTTCATCCCTCTTTATCTAAACAACCCCTCTGTATTTGTTCTGTTTCTCATACAGCCTGACTCAGTGTGCCAACATTACATATTATGTGGGAAAAATGCTTGATGTTCTCCATATGCAGGAGGGAAGACCATGAAGTCATCTCAGCCTTGTGGATGAGCCACCTGCCAGCCCAGATAGAATTATCCATGCAGATTTTAACCCATTGTTCAAGCTCTAATTGCTGTCACACTCAAGTGAGAAGATCTGATGCACCTGAAGAGAAAATAATTGGATTACTCTAGGGAGAACCAGACAGAGGCTTCAAGGCCCCTTTTTATTTCCATCTCCATTTTCTTAGAATCACAGAACCTCAGAATCATAGAACAGCTTGGGTTGGAAGGAACCTTAAAACTCATCCAGTTCCAACCCCTCCCTCCCCTCCGCCATGGGCAGGGACACCTCCCAGCAGACCAGGCTGGCCAAAGCCCCAACCAGCCTGGCCTTGAACACCTCCTGGGATGGGGCATCCACAGCTTCTCTGGGCAGCCTGTGCCAGTGCCTCACCACCCTCTGAACAAAGAACTTCTTCCTATTGTCTAACCTAAACCAGCCCTGCATCTTGTCCAACCATTACACTCCCTGTCAAAGTCTCCCTTTTACTTTCTTGTAGGCCTTCTAGGTACTGGAGGGGGACCCCAGGGCTATAAGGTTGAACAACTCATCTCTCCCAGCCTCCACTTGGGAGTATTTACTCCCCTCCCACCACAGCAGTTGCCTGAGATTTTCATGCCTATAACTTGCTCCTCCGGAAGGAGATCTCTCTCTCAAAGCAGCTGCACTTGCAGGTACATTATTGCTTAAGTGTGGAAGCTCTGCCCCACTCAATTAACCCAGATTTGCACATGAGACAGAGGCGGACACACTGTTCCTTGGCTTTACTACTCCATGTGTCTGCAAAGGGGATGAAAACAGAAGCTGGGCAGTGCTCCATGTGCTCCAGAAGACAGGGCAGCACCCTCAGAAAGAACTACTGCTTATTCTCCAACAGGTATTTGTAAACAGTAGAGTAGGACATAGTAAAAACACATTAATTTGCTGAGATTAATCAATGCCTGTTAAAGCTAGTCTTTTACCAACTGGTGTGTTTTAAAGAGCATCCAATTATGTACTGAGCTGTATTTAAAATCATAGGCAGGCCAGTAAGTCTTCTAATAGGGCTTGTTGTCTTTGCTCTTACCTTTCAGAAGAGGCAAACCAGCTTGAACTGTAGCTTGCAGAGGTATTGATTTCAAACCAAATGTCACTCACTCTCTTAGTGACTTTGTAGGAGAGAGACTCCTCACTCCTTCAGAAGAATGAGAGGCAAGATGTGAGGAAAACAGAAGGGGAGCTCAAAGGATTGCCACGTCTGATGTCTTGGGGTGGGGCTTAGCCTCCTGCTCTCCATTGACACAGCTTCTTAGTAACTGCTTCATCTCAGTGAAGCCGCAGAAAAATAAAAATTAAACAAACAAACAAAAAAAAAAAACATCAAACAAACAAATGAAAAAAAAATACACTATTGAGAACTGAAAGTATTTTAGACCTTGAAGTAATGGGATGAGGGAGCAGGAAAAAGTTTTTCACAATACATGTAAAAAATATATATGTTTATTTTCTGTTTTTGCTCTAAACCCATCTTTGTTTAACAGCTACTCTCCCAAACAAGGAGCAGCTTCAGGCAGACCACTCCATCTTCTGCTCTGCTTCTTGGCCTACCTCATGAACAGCTTTGCTAAACTATGAAGCTCTGTGGAAAACAGGAAGTTTCCAATATAAAATCCTAATTGTTGTTGGGAAAAAAACAAACAAACAAAAAAAAAAAAAAAACACTATTAACTTGAAAAGCACATATTTTCACACAATGGCTGTCACAAATAATGAAAGCTGTTCAGATGAAAGTTAAGAAATGTTAGGTCTTGACCAAAATTATTTTATGAGGAAAAATATTTTTATTTTTAGAAAATAAAGCCTGAGTTCTCAATCAAAACATTGACAGCAAAACAGCCAGGAACAGTAAATTCTCAATACAGAACAAATATTCTCCTTGTGATATTCTCCTTGTGTGTAAACAGAGTGACAGATACAACAGAATGGCCTGCAAGATTGGCAGCAATAAGTAAATATTTAACAGAGAGCTGCCATATAATAGAAACACATCTCTCCCCAGTCAGCAGGCACCAGGTCTTTGGTGGATAAGCTAATGTCAGGCAGCAGGATGTTTAGGTGGTCTTGAAGTCCTATAACCACACTGAATATCAAACAAGTTCGGACAACACGGATCGACCCTAAATGGAGCTCGCCTCTTCCTTCTCTTCTTGCCAGAAGAACAGCAGGTACCACAGGGATGTGGTAGAAGAGATGGATTTTGGGGCACAGCATCACGGGGCAGGCACCAAGTCCTTCATAAGCTGCATGAGTGACGTAAAATATTCAGATACACACACACAAGAACTGTGGGATGTTGCCTAGCCATTCCTAGTCTGAGCAGCAAACTGAGGTTCCTAGAAGAGGAAGGAGATGGAAAGCTACCTTTTATTTCTGAGCTGTACTCTCTACTCCCTCCCTCAGCTCCAGGACTGAACCTGAGGCTCCCTCTGCTGAGCCTGCCACATAGCTGATAGCTGGATGATCTGGATGATAGCCGATGTCTGCTGGATCCAGGCTCCAGAGGTGGTCTGTAAAATCCTCGAACCTTCCGCACCTTCATCTCATGCTCCAGCACAAGGCAAAGGACAGTCCACACACTCCACAGCCAGAAGAGGACCTCTTTTTCTGCTCCACCACCAGTGAAAAGGGAGACGGAGGTGCAGAATGAGAAAGCCAACTCCAGGAGGAATTTTTCCTCAGATAAATGTATACATGTACATGTATAGGTACCTGTGTATACTATAGCACGAGCACTCACACATCTCCAAACTCTTATAAGAAGTCACTGTTGCAGTGTCACTGAAGGGCTCTGGTTGAGTCAGGCTCAGTGTCTGGGCTGAAGAACCACCAGTAACTGCTCAAGCACACCTTCTCCCGTTAACTGCAGAGAAGCTCTAGCAAAGTAGGGCTAAAAGGATCCCTCAGTTTCAAAGCAGATTTTGGGGATCTCTGTATCTCTGTATGCAGAACAAAGTGTTTTGCCAGCTGGAAGACAAAATATAACATGAACCAGAATTTTATTTTTGACCAATGTCACTAACAGGCAATGACTACCACTGTCACTTTTTCCATTTTACATCCCCACCCCCCCAAAAAAAAAAAAAAAAAAAAAGTAAGAATAACCTGTTGAATAGTTAGAGTTCTTTTTCTTCTCTGCAGTACGTTACCCCCCAGTTGGTTATACATCTTCATAACCAGTCTTTCCTGGTCTCAGAGCCTCATATTTCTACATATCCTTCATTTCCATCCTTCTCACACTGTGTCTTTCCAAAATAAGGTCTTTTTCCCACACTCATAAAAGTAAATCAGCCTGTCACTTCCCAAAATACATTCTTATCTTCCCACGTTCCATGAAAAAACTTACAGTTACACCATTCCTTCCCCATTTCCCCCTTTAACTACATCCACATCTCCAGATTCCAATTTCCATCAAGTAATCTAACTAATCTTGGTAAGAAAAATCTCATGCCTGTAGTTAATAGGAAATCCACTTGAGGCATTAAGACTCATATTAGATCCTTTCTCTCCTTAAGCCAAGCACTCGATGCCCACAAACTAAGTGGATTAATCACATGCCTTTTATATGGCACAGTAGAGCCCAGGGAAGCCCCTAAGCATTGTTGCCTGTGACAGAACTGCTGCAGGACATGGGAATTTCTATGACCCTTCCCAAGGAGAGCAGCAGTACTTCTGCTGGAATACTCATCTTTCAGGTTCTGAAACATCAAGATGCAGCTCCAGAAGATGTTGTGATTTTTCATTGTTTTATACAGGTGAATTGGCCAGGCGGCAGATTTCTGTTACTTGTTGACAGGCTTCCTACTGTCACAGTTCCTCAGCTCCAGACCTTCACAGCTCAGTGCCCTTCAGCACAGCTCCAGAGCCAGAAATGCAGGCTGTGAGCAGCATCTTCTCCTGTCCTCTGCCCCACAGTTAGGGTTGAGCACATCCTCTCTGTCTCCAGCCCTCCCTTGCTCTGTTTCCAAAACATACAAGCTCTTGTTTTAAAAGCCAGCTGTGGAAATTTAATAGCAAATAGTAATGTTCTGCCTACATATTTTGCCACCGCAGTAACAAGGTATCAGAAAATATCACAGTCTGTGAGATATTTATGCTGCAAAGTATCCCTATTTGTATCTTAAAAAAGAGGGAGCAGAGGCACAGAGGGATTAAGGGCTATAGTTAGACCACCTACCATGGCATCTGTAAGAGACTTACATTTCTGTGACGCCTAATTCGAAAGACTGAAGAAGTATTTAGACCTCCTGTTCCCATGGCTGCTGGGCTTTGGCTCCCTGCAGCAAATAAAAAGTAGTAGGGTTATATTCAGCTCCCTTCTCTGGGTAACCAGCTTGAATGTTGTGTCTATTTCCTTACTCACCGTCTAAAAAGTAATCGCCTCCTGCCTGGAGAGCAGGAGCTGAGAGCTGTTCCTTGCTGCTTCCAGCTCAGCCCCCAGAGCTCCTTTTCAGGCTGACCCCACAGGGTATGGTTCTCCACAGGTATGGCAAAGACCACACGCAGGGCCAGGTACAAAGCCATACCTGCCTCTGCCTTCATCTCTCATGGCCACTGACATGTTGTTAATGGTGAAACGACCTCAGGAGCTGGGTTGTGCATGACTGAATCGTGTCAACCTACCTGCTGCATGCAGCTGCCTCCAGCATGGAGCAGAGCAGCTACGCAAGGCAATTTGGCTATACCTGTGCACCTTCAACTACTTCATCTAGATCTCCAAAGATAGTCACCGAGGGTTTCACAGCTTGTTTATAAAAAAGAGCTTTGTTCCCTAACTACACTTATCAGCTGTCTTTACAAGCAGGTGTAGCTGTCATTTTTGCAGTTCAATCCAAGGAGAACACAGACACTGCATGGAGGTGCCCATCCCAGGGCATAAAATCCCATCCTGCTGCATTTTAACTGTTTGAGTCAGGTGGGAAGCACACTTGTGCTGTAGCCCTGGGACTATCAGTATGTGGTTATTGTCAGCTTCATTTCACAAGTGGGCAAACCCAGGCACTTCGGATGAAGAAATTTGCTGCTGTATCAGCAAAGTCAGGATTGGGTGAATTTATCTAAAACACATGGGGGACTTTCCAAGGGTACTAAAATGCAAGGATTCAATATTACCACAAAGGCACCGATGAGGTCTCTATCGCATACACCACCTACACCACAGTGTTGGCTGTCCCTGCTCAAACACCAGCTTTGCTGGAGCTGAGTCTGCTTTAACCAGCTGCAAAACTCCCTTCTGCAGCTTTATGTAGTGCAGAGCCAACATCAGTGAGACTGCTCTGACTCACTGGGGAAAAACTCCCCAAACACCACTTCTCCCTGTCATTTTACTTGTGCTTTCTCCCTCGCTGATTTGTTTGCCAAATATTTCTTCTGGATTTCACCAGGGTTTTCTCCTCGCAGGATGCTGGAGCGATGGCCTGGAGGCCCCAGGAGCATTGGCTGGAGCTCGCTGACATCTACTGACTGAAGCAAGGAGTGCAAGTGGCTGGGCATGGAGGGAAGGGAGAAGCAGGCTGCCTTGGGAGGCAGTGAAGTCTCCCTCCTTGGAGATGCTCAAAACCCGACTGGACGTGGCCCTAGGCAGCCTGCTCAAGGTAGCCCTGTTTGAGCAGGGAGGCTGACAAGACGACCTCTGGAGGTCCATTCCCACCTCAACCTTTCCATGATTGTGTGAGGAAAAGAGGGAAGAAAAGAAGAAGGGCAGAAGGGAAGGAGAGGAAGGACAAGGCTTCTGGCTGCCAAGGGGCCAAGAAGAGCAAAACATCAAGAAGGAGGCACTTCCCACCTCTCATCTGATGAGCATCACACATGTTCAGCCTCACAAGCTCCAAATTCAGTCAAGAAAATCTGACATACCAATATGTACCCACAGCCTTGACCCCTTCTGTAACTCCAGGGTCTCGGTGTCTGCTCCTTTCCTCCTGAAGGCCTGTCTGGTACAGTCCTGTCCTTTCACACCACTGGTTATCTACCCTATGAGAGGTGCGCTCTGCTCTCAGGCCCTGCAAGCCAAAGACACCTTCTCCAAGCCACTGGCTCTCAGTATCCCTGTAAGACAGGAGAAGTACTGTTTTATTTTATACATAATGGCTGACACACAAATGGTTCAGCTAAGGGTTGGCATTACAAATAAAAGTTTTAACATCTAGGATCCCTTCTCGCCTTGATTTCCAACATTTTGGTAGCTCAAGTATTCAGTGGCTCAGGACCAACCTATGTCATGTGAGAAATTCCAACAATAACAATTTCCAGTCAAACCCCCTCAGTAAGACTATCTATCTTTCCCATCTACAGAGAATTGTATCAGACCATGTCCAACTACACTGATTTTAGACCTGTCACCTTATGGAGAAAATTACTGTCCAGTGGAAGTGAAAAGGCAGGATTCGACCTTCAATGAGCAGTGTGCTTGCTCAGATATAATCTCTTCAAGCCAGAGGCACCTCTCACATTTGTTCTCTCAGGCAGGTAATCCCCTTTGTCCCAGTTGTGTACCGCTATGATGAAAGGCACCATAGGCAGGCATGCTTTTGTTAGACTACCAGCAACCTCCATGGGAGAGGACAGCTCAGCCGACTCCTAGGGCATTAGCTCAGGTCTCACTTGGCATTTTTCCTTTCACCCCACCACTGATATCCTATGAATGCTTTCAATATAAATGATCTGAAAAAGAACTTTTAGCACTCTCACAGTTATGGTAAAAGCCTGAGCCAGCCCTTTAGACTATGCTGGTGGAAACAAAACAAAACAAAACAAATAACAACAACAAAAAAGGATAAATAGAATCCCATGCTTTTAGCCTTTCTAAGCCAAATTCACAATTTAAGGGAGGGATGAACACTTTAAAAGAGTAAAGTCTGCAATGTTAAATCTACAGTCTTCTATAGTAAAAAATAGTCAATTAACCTGCCTTGTTTCATGGCAGAACCCATTAAGGATACTTCCTTCCTCTCCTCTTTGCTGAAGTGCTCACATGCTAAATTACACATAGAAGACAGTATAGGAAAATAGGTCACATGGTATTAACAACAACAGGGGAGATGTGTGACTCAATTTCCCTTTCCTGACAACTTCAAAATTCCCGTAACTTCAATGACACAGAGCACCAGCTAGCATGAAACAGCACAGCACCATCAGTGTCAATGAAACTTTGGCTCATTTGCTATAACACAGAATCAGGGCCGATGATAGTAGCAGACATTTTTGGGAAAGATGCTGATTTGGAAGAAAATAAATAGCCTCATCATCATGAAACCCACACTGAATTTCAGCAGACTGTATAAGCCCCAGGAGAAGCAGCTTGCTGAGGTGAAGCTCTGTGTGTCCTGCTGCTTCAGTGGGCTCATTCCCCACTTCAGCTGCTAAAACAACTTGTCAGCTAGATACAGAATTTTAATAAGAAAATTCAGTTCCGGATGAAAGACCTGGCCTGACAGACCTTAAGTAAAGCAGGAGTGGCAAACATGAAGCTGGATTAGCAGATCCAATGTTTGTTTGTTCACCTATTAATTAATTAATTTATTTATTTATTTATTTATTTATTCCTAACACAAGAACAAGTACACGTGGTGATGATATGTCTGTGAGGTCCCTGCAACTTACCTCAATATGTCCCTTCTGGATTCAGACAGATCTTGTCAGAGTGGTCCATGCTTATTTTGTCATTTTAGGTTGCGTAGACATCTCTTACAAATCAGTCTAGACAGAGTAAGTCATGGCATGGCCCTGGTACAAGGATGCCAACAGTGAGCTGGGGCCAGGTTCATTCTGGATTAGCCTACTGCTCTTAAAGCCAGTACACATACACACAGCATGCCCAGCAGCCACATGGCCAAGGTGCCATTTTTATTTCAAAGGTGGCAACCCTTAGCCAGCCCTACCTATCACCCTAACTATACATAATGTATTTTAAGCTGCTACAAGTCTGATCCCCCAACACCAATATACTTACATACCCAGCCATTTCTCACTGTAATACCTCGCTTAGGCTTCACATCTGATATGAACTTCACATCTGATAAGCATTTAAATCCAGTCAAAAAATAAATAAAATAAAATAAAATAAAATAAAATAAAATAAAATAAAATAAAATAAAATAAAATAAAATAAAAACTATTCCTGCAAGAACAATCTTTCTCTCTGCAGAGATTTCTTATGACTCTTGGCTCTCCTTCCTGACTACAAAGCCTTAATGCTTTGGAAGCAGAGAAGAGGCAAGACCTGCCAAATTCTGCCCTCAGTTGCACATTCCCATGATCCATTGCCATTAGTGGGATTTGTACATGAGGATGGAAGGCAGCCTGGAGTCTTTCTGCTCATTGTCTTCCACGTGTCCTGCACCTTGGTTCACCTGCCACTCAGCTGCAATAAACACCATTGTGATTTTTTGGTCTTGCTTATGTAAGATCAAGTAGCAGGGAACCACCTTAAAACAGGCACATATTCAACAGTGTAAATGAAAGGAGCGTCTGGACCTCTTTTATAAAAGCAAACCCGTAAGCCCCTCTAAAAATAGAGAAATGTGTATAAGAATTCAGCCCCAGAAACCTTACTAGAAAAGAGGAGAAAGGACTGATTGTAACATTTGGGTTTCACTATCTGGACTGAACTTTTCCTGAAACTCTTAACCAGTTTTACTTTTTCATATAATCACAAGGCCAATGTCTGTTCTCCAATACAAAGGAGTCAGTCCAAAGTTCCTCTACTTATTTCAGGGAGGTTACTCTGGAATTAAACTTAGTACAGAATTTAGCCTTGCTGAATGCATCAGCACCTCCCCAGCTTGCCAGCTGTCACCCAGCATAGCACATTTGTTTAATCTACAACTGCTGCTGTCTCAACATTCCTTCACTAAAAATCCTCCCTCCCTAGGTCTAGTTATAGCAGTGCAGGCACCTCTGGCCCTCAGTGCCCAGCACATGCAGGTCATC